CTGTTGCTCAAACATTGGACCAAAAGGAGAGTGGTTTTCCCAAGAGCAGTGTTCTTTGTGCTTTCTAGAGGAGGACACAAAAGCATTGATTCAAAAAAACACCTGTACCCTATGTTTATTGCAGCACTATTTACAATAGGTAAAACTTGGAAACAACCCAAATGCCCAAAAATAGATGACTGGCTCAAGAAGATGTGGTATATATACACAATGGAATATTACTCAGCAATCAAAAAAGATAAACTCATGCCATTCGCAGCAACGTGGATGGAACTAGAAGGAATTATGCTCAGTGAAATAAGTCAGAAGGAAAAAGAAAAATATCGGATGGTTTTACATGTAGGAGGATTATAGGGGAACCAAATAAAGGGAACGGCCTTTGTAGCCTGGCTGATGTGGAGTCCAGGCCCAGCAATGTCCTCATTTACAAATTGAGACTGAAATAACATAGGCTTTGTGCTGTTGTTGGAAGGATTAGAAATAATGGACAGCCCCAGGTATACAGTCAGTGCTCACTGTATGGCAACTCTTCTTTTCCTTCTGCCACTCCAGAATAGATTGCCCTAGGTCACTGCTGGGTTGCAGTCAATCTCTGATGACTTTATTGCCAGTTGAGACAAGAAACTGAAATCTAAGGCTTTGGTCACCATCTTTCCAAATGCTTTGTCTAAGGCGGCCTGGTGGGCAGATAGGTAAGAGCTGTGTCCTTCTAGGTGACAGTGCTCTCCTTTGTCAATCACCTCATAACACAAAGAAAAGCATTTCACAAACCTCTTTGCTGGTGGTGATGATACATAGACAAGGAGCTCCAGAAGGCACCAAGGAGCAGGACTTCAACACTGTTGCGGAATACTGCTGAAAACCCAGCACCTTGCCCTCTGTTCCCCTGCCTTATTTTACTCCACACTCTCGTGAGGTGTCAGTAACTGTTGAAAGCGCTTTCACATACTGAATTTCATTTGCCCCTTACTCTGGCCTGTGAGGTAAGTAGGGCAGATGTTGCCTGCATCTGGGAGGGGCTAAGTAACTACAGGGCTGGGACTAGAACCTAATCTCCTTACGTAATATGGACTAGCAGAACAAGATTTTTTAAAAAAAATATTTATTTATTTATGCATACAAGAACCAGGGGACAGGCTAGAGGTTTGGGGGGTGAGAGGATTCACCAGAGACAGAGTGGGGAACAGAACAAGCGATTGACTGAATATACTGCTGAGGGGAGCAGTGGGCGAGTCAGGAGAAGTCTGCTGTGCCATGTGGGCAGCTCCCTGGGCAGGGATTGAATTTGTGCTGCAGTGGCTGCGGACAGCTTCATCAGTTGCTTCTTAATCCCTTGCACCACCAGGGAGGCCCAGGACCAGATTAAAACTACCTTGGATGAATGGGTTAAAAGAAATTTGTGAGGAAATGGTGTGCAGGTGGAGAGAGCTGTTTTTGCAAGGAGACAATGTAACGAACTGTAGGTAATGCTGTAGGGTTATCCAGCAGAGACAGGTGGCCCCGTGCCCATTGTGCTATTGAGCAAACTGGTGGCCCAGAGTATGCAGAAAAGGACTTTGGAGTTCAGATGGCAGACAGAAGGATTTTGTTTCAAAAGGTCCAGCAACAACAAATGTTGGCAAGGATGTGATGAAAGAGGAACTCTCCACCATTGCTGGTGGGAGTGCAAACTTGGTCCAACCACTGTGGAGAGCTGTCTGGAGGTTCCTCAGTCTATTACGAATGGAGCTACCATATGACTCAGCAATTCCATTCTCAGGGATCTATCCAAAGGACACAGAAACATTGATTCAAAAGAACACCTGTACTCCTATGTTTATTGCAGCATTATTTACAATAGGTAAAACCTGGAAACAACCCAAATACCCAAAAATATATGACCGGATCAAGAAGATGTGGCATATATACACAATGGAATACTATTCAGCAAACTCATGCCATTTGCAGCAATGTAGATGGAGCTAGAAGAAATTATGCTCAGTGAAATAAGTCAGAAGGAAAAGGAAAAATACCAGATAGTTTTACTTATAGGAGGAATATAGGGGAACCAAATAAAACATCAGGGGAAAATAATAACAATACTAAACACAATAAAACAAAACAAACAGTTATAAACCAGAGACATCCTGCAGGGAAGGAGGAGGGAGAGGGATCAGGAGGAGGGAGGGAGGAGCACAGGGGACTGTGGTGATGGTGCACAGGTGCATTGGTGAAGGAAATTCTGTGGGGACTACACCTGAGGGGGTGGGGGGGAAGCAAATATTGTTTAAAAGTGAACAATGATGTAAAAAATATATAAATAAAAAGAAAATTAAAAACAACAACAGCCAAATGTCCACCTCCTTTCCAAGTTGTTTGAATGAGAGAAGTGGTCTGGGGGACTTAGGGGGCACAGGGCCACCCAACTGGGGGGTGGCAGAGTCCTGAGGATTGAGACTCAGGATTCTTAACTCCAACCTCTAGGGCTTGAAATGAGCTTAGTCATTCCCCTGCCCTGTTTTTCTCACTCTGCCTTTGAGAGAAACAAGAACAGAAAGGACAAATCACTGGTATGAAAAGAAATTGTGCTCACTCCCTTTACAAATCTAATTGGCCTCCACTTGATGTGGGGGGAAAAGGGAAGGGCGACTCCCACTTGTCCCTCTGGTCTACTTGTTAGCTATGTGACTGAAGTCACTCCATCTTCCTTAGTCTGTGTCCTCTGTGGAATGAAGCCACCATCTCCCGCCTGCCAGGTTGTGAGAATGAAATAAACAGTGGATGTGACAGGATTTTTGTAAACCACACAGTATTATCATCATCTATGAAAGCTTTGAATCCTCACTTCCTGGAACCCACCAAGCCCAGCTCACTCTAGGACCCTGGAAGACTTGACTCGGACGGGAGTGGGAGTAGAGAAGGTGGTTCTTTTTTGTTTTCTCCAGCAGTCAGGCAGGCAGGCTGGCAGAAGTGGAGAGGAAAATGGAGAAAGATGGGCTTGCTCCCCACCTCTGTTTTATTCTCCAGCTGAGGGGCAAATGGCGGGGGAGCTGGCCGACACTTTGCTTTGGTGAGCCAGCAAAGCAGGAATTTCTAGAGTTCCAACGATGTATAAGTGATGGTTTTGGTTTGGATTTTCCCAGCAGCTCCCCCTCTTTTTCAGCAGCTTTAAGGCACATAACAGAAAGTACAAGCAACTGGGAAGCACATGGCAAACGAGAGGAGCACAGCTTCTGACTGGTGTGCACTTAAGGAAATCACTCGGGTTATATGTGTCTGTTTTCTCATCTGTAAAATGGGGTGATGCTACCTGTTTTGCAGGGTCATTGTGAATACGTTGAAATGCTGGGGCCAGTGCCTGGCAGAGACTGAGGCCGGATCCCTGTCCATTTCCTTTCCTCTCTGAGTGGACAGCCTGCAGTCATGGAGCTCAGCTGGACAGAAAGCACTCGCTCCTCAGGTGCTTGAGTCTGTTCATTTCATTCTCACAACCGCATACATGGGCAAAATGGAGAAAGAACTCAAAGAAGTGTTATTGCCCAAGGTCACACAACTTGCAACTTTGAGAGCCAGGATTCTAACCCACCTTGGTTAGTTTGCCTCTTAGACATCAAGGTGTGATGGGCTTAACCAAGCTGGATCTTCTGGAAGACCCATCTTTAAATAGACCTGGCCTGAGGGGGTAATGCCAACTTGGCCCATTATGAGAATTAACTTGCGCAGCTTCAAGGGCAGTCTATAGACTGTGCTAGAGGTAACCTGGCAACAACTGGGAGCTAAAAGCAGTTTCTCAAATCCTGGGGGAGTTTATCTGCCCTCTACCAGTTTCAGGAGCTAATGTTGTGAGGGTGCAAAAAGCCCTTTATTAAGCAGTATACAAATATATTATGGGTAGTCTTCTGTCATCTCCCACTAAACACAACCTCCTACTCATCGCCTGACAGCCCTCCACTTACCACCCTATTATAACCAAGAGGGAACCGAGTCTCCTTTTCAAATCCATCTCCTAAGCTAGCTTGCAGAAGCTGGCGGAGGGGGGGGGAGGGGGGGAGCTGAGTCATCTTTCTCTTGGAAAAAAAAAAAAAGCTAAGTGTTCTAACACCAGGTTTGTTTTCTATACAGACTTGGCTGTTTTAGGGTCTCCACCTGAACTAAGGCCATGCCTTCTCTCCACTCCAGAAAGTAGATACTTACCAGTGTCATCTGTGCCGTACCCCTCCCTCTATACCTCCACACCATTATTAGCATGACTGTGGGCACCTTACCAGCCAGCAAAAAATGACCACCATGGCGTTTACCCAGGGCACAGCTTCAGGTGGTAGCAGGAATCACACAGCTACTCTTCACCCAAGGGTTAGTGTTTCCATGAGAGCAAAGGCCTTGGCCTCACGTGCACACAAAGATGGTTCTTATAACCCCTCGTTGTCATTCTCATTTCTCCTGCCCAAAACAAGGAAGACTAGGCAGAAGGGATTGTGGTTCAGTCACAGCTCTGATTCCTAAAGACAGTGCCGTGTGCAAGGCGAGACCTGGCTTTTGTGCTAGGACTTTTTTTTTTTTTTTGAAAGATTTATTTATTTATGCATACAAGAGCTGGGGTACAGGCCAGAGGTCTGGGAGGTGAGAGGATTCACCAGAGACAGAGTGGGAAACAGAACAGGCAGATTGACCGAAAACACTGCTGAGGGGAGCAGCAGGTGAGACAGGAGAGGTCTGCTGCGCCATGTGTGTTGCTCCCTGGCTGGCTGGGGATCGAACTCGTGCTGGAGAGGCTTTGGATCACCTCATAGTGCGGTGCTTAACCCCTTGCACCACCAGGGAAGCCCTTTGCTAGGACTTTGTAAAGCAGAGTGTTGGGTTATTTTACGGTGCTGGGTCTGGAAGGAGAAAGCAAGCTTCAGCTAGTCTATTCAACGTGATGCTGGGAAATTCAATGCTGCAGATCAAAGGGAGTAGACCAGGATCTTCGTAAGCCCTGGGACCCACAGTTGAGTCCCTACTCACCCCCAAAAGCAGTTGATACCCATTATTTCTACACAGGTTTATGTAACAGAAGGGCCTTTTATTATTTTTTTAAAGAGAATGCATACACGGACGATACAGAGCCATTTCTCAGTGCTCTTTTCTTTTTACTTACGAAACTGGAACATAGCATAATGAGGATAATGCCAAAATAACACTGCTGCCTCATCATCCAGGGTACGAATACACACTTAATCATTCAACACTTTATTGAACACAAAGTAGGATTAAGCATCCTTGCCTTGGTTGCACACAATTAAAGCAGGAGCCCAGGGAGTGTAAGACTGCACAGCTTTACTTGGCAGGGAGGTGTTGACCCCTGTAGTCCTGTCTTCTTGTGTGGAGATTAACCCATGTTCTGTCGGTTGCCATAGCCCCTAGGATGGGTGTCCTTCCAGTCATCCCACTCCCGTGCTCGGTGGAGTGTTTCCTCGTCATCCTCTTCCTCCTTTTGTTCCTGACCTTCCTGTTGCTGAGATGCTCTGGCGAGCTCAAACTCTGCCAAAGTGTAAAAATGAGAAAGTGGAGGGTTAGAGGGTGTGAAAAATGGAGGAAATGTCAGGATTTCAGCTCTACTGTGAACACCACTACATAAAATGAGAATAAGGATGAGCTAGCTGCCTACCCTGGGCCCAGGGAAGTGGGAAGAACACTTATATTACTTAACAGATGACATGTAGCAGGAAAGCATGCGGAGTGATTTTCACAAGACAGCCAAAAACAAAGTTACCTCTCATATATGGGATAGAATTGTTGCTAAAATGGCCAACACTCCTGATCCCATACAAAAATAAACAGATCAACTAATCAACAAAAACCCAGCAAACCAAAATCACTGAAGTAAAAAAATATTTATGACTGTTGATATGTGATATGCCAGGGAGGTGGGCTGTAGATGAATTTTCTTTCCCCATCTGTTTTCCTTTCTTTCAGTTATACAATTGTGTGTGTGTAAAACTGGAAATCAAGGGGCAATTGGACCTAATAGAAAAGAATGTTTTGCATGCATTTGTAACAGATTGAAAGTCATGCGGTGTACACCCAAAATAAGCCATCTCTCTTTTGCATTAAAGATCTTTAATGGAGCATTTCCTGGCTACCCTGAGTTTGCCAAAAAATTCTCACTACTGTATAAAGATTGAAATATGTGAAGATCTGATCTCTTCCAACAGCTTAAGAGAGGACTCTTGTGATTTTTTTGAATCCTATTATAAAACAAAAGAAAACCGGCCCCCTTCCCAACTTGTTTTTCTAGGAAGGCTGTACCTTTACAATCTCCACTATGGTCAATAAACAAATCTGTACCCATCCCCAAAGTCTCTCCGTGAGCATCTTCCAAGTCACAACCCCCTTCTGCCAAAGGTAACTGCTATACTGCTTTTTATAATAGTAACTGTGCTAGGTAACAGTGCTCTCTTACCTAGAGTTTATTAGTTTTATTTCCAATTGTGTACCCCTAAGCATCCTAGCTGTCTATCTGTACATTCTCCATTCAATGATCTTTAGCAAAGCGTTGTACAACCAATGCAATTAGAATTTTTTCTAAATCACCTCCAAAGATCCCTTGTGCCCATTCACAATGAATTCCCACTCCTCCCCCACCCCATCCCAAACCCCTGGCAACCAACCCCCAATCTAACATTGTGTCTTGACAGATTTGTCTATTATGAAGAGTTCATATAATAGGAAGCAAGGGGTATGTGGTGTTTGGTGTCTTATTTCTCACTTAGTATAATGTTTTTGAGGATAGCTTTGCACATTAAAAATATCTTTTTATCTTTTTAATCTACAAGTTCTTCTTCCATTCCTTTCTTTCCTTACAAGTTATCTACTGAAGAAGGTAGGGCATTTGGCCAGTAGAAATTCCCCATGTCTGGATTTTGCTGGTTAGAGTAATGATGCAGGCCAACATGCTTGTCTTCTGTGTTTCTGCAGATTGACTACTGGGCCAAGGCTTGATCTGACTCAGGGCTGATCCCTTCTGCACTACAGGAGGTACATATCCCTTCATCATGGAGCACATGATACCTTTACCTGAAGTGTTGTGATGCTAGCAGTTGTTAATGCTCATATCTAGATCCTTATATTTTCTGTGGGTTTCAAAAAGGTGATATTCTTAACTTTTATTTTTTAATTAACTACAATACTTTTATAATGAGAGGCTTCCCTTTACTGCCTACTATTTAGTTACCTAGGAAGAAATTATTTAGACTTTTTCTCTGGGGGAGCTGTCTCTTTATCCTTATTATTAATTTAAACATTTCGACCATTTTATTTCTTGTGCTATAATTCAGTACTGTTATTGTCCTGCTTAAATCTTTCAGTTTGGGCCAGTGTGCCCCACCACCCCGTTAATATAATATCTCAGTTTGTTGTTTTTTTAGTGTTTATTTTCTAGGACTACAAGAATGCTCCAGGCTTACTCTGAATATTCCCCGCCCCAGCGCTAGAATCAGCCATTTTTTAAGGAGCCCTGGTCCTTTTATCTGAAAATTATGTCAGGAACCAAGACTTGGGTGCTGGATGTGTGCTTGTTGCTACTGGCAATTATCCTTCTTGAAGTCAAATTATCTTGACTTTGACCAGGGAAGACATGGTCAAATTGGCTTCTATGTCATTTTTGCTATGACTCTAATAATATTTGAAATCTCCCCATCTTTTATGACAAGATGTTCCAAGCTCACCTTGTACATTTCCTGTCCCAGACTAGGAATAGCTATCGCCAGAGAAACAACTGGTTTCTTTTAAAGGGAATGGTCTTTAAGACCACTGTCTGGGTTACAAAGTGCGCTCATTGCTACTGAGCTGGTTGTTGTTAAGTCTTTTCAGTGGATTAAAGCAAAGGGGTATGGGTGGGTAAGTGTGTATTTCTAAATGCAATTTCTCAGGGATTCATGTTCACGACTACAGGATTATTTTATTTCTAATTCTTGAATTACATCTATATTTTTCCACACCATGTCTTAGTTCTCAAAGACAGGCTGACAGAATTAGAATACTTCATAATTACTCATTTATATTACACAGTCTTGAAATAACACTAATATTGTCATTAATATTGCTGAACACAATTTAATTTTCACATATGCTTTTCCTATTTCTCTATTTTCAACAACAGTTGTATTGAGACAGGAAGGGTCCTGGGATAGGAATCAAGGACAAAATTTTTGCAATAATTTTGCTGTTCCCAAGGGCTGGTAAACAGAGGTTAAAAACCTGACGACTTTAGGCCCAGACACCTGCTGCCATAAATTTCCTTGGGTCATTTTTTTTAGACATATCTAAGATATCTTTCCATAGCTTATCAAGTTGGCTGCTTTGGGAAAAAGGGAGTTGCAGACCCAGAAGAGTCACAGACCTGTACATTTCCTGCCCCAGACTAGGAATAGTTATCACCAGAGAAACAGCTGGTTTCTCCAGGACTGGCTGGACCTGGAGCTGCAGGCACTCGGCCTCTATGAAATGTTCACTTGGAGATGGTCACGAGTCCCGCAGGCCCGAGCTGCAGCTGATCGGTGCCCACAGTCAGCAACAATAGTGGACTTTAGCCAAATCTACTCTTCATGGGCTCAGAAAGCCCATAAAGCTTAACTCCTTTGCTCTCAAGCCCCAGTCCTAAAACCTACATAGGCCCCAGCCCCAGCACCTCCCCGGTCTCTCTCACGCCCAGAGAGGTCTCTCTGGAGCACTCTTTCCTGGATCTTTTGCTAATCAATAAACACTGACTCCTCACCTGCCCTGGTCTGTGTCTCTTTTCAATCCTGACCAGAGGGTCTCAAGAGCCCTTCTCTGGATTTGGGAGAGGGACCCCTCGCTCCATCCCTGAATCCTGGCAGGAACTGCTGGGCAGCTAGCTTATCCGCTTGTTCTGTGGGGAGAGTACAACTGGACTGAGGGGTGTAAGGCCCAGTTGTTTCCTTGTCCGGTGACTGTATCTACCTGTTACCTGAGCACTGAGCATAGGCATCACATACTCAACTCTTTCCTTATGAACCCTCACTTAGTTTCAGTTCCAGAAGTAACTATATATTTAATGCTCATCCCCAGTCCTTAAGTCAATGTCTCCTCATTTTGATGGTTTGATTTAAAATTCATTTTTACCAGGGACACTGTCCTTGGCTTGTTATTTCTTCCCTTTAGTGTTTTAATATTTGTCACTCCATTTTTCTTTGGCATAAAATGTGTTCGTGTCAAAAAGTTTGAGGGTGATCTCTTTCCTTTTTTATAAATCACCTGCTGATTTTGCTGAAATGTCAAGGTATTTTTCCCTTTTATAAAAGTCTAGTAGTTTTATCAGATTGCATCTTGTTCTTGGTCATTTAGGGTCAGAATTCTCAGGTACACAATGCTATTTCAAATCAAACTATTTTAGTCCAGTAAAGTTTCTTTAATATTAGTTTTTAGCATTTATTCTTTTTTTTCAGATTAATGAAGTATCACTGTTTTACACCTTTGTTAATATTCTGACAATGTAAGGTTTCTCCCCTTATGTGTGGTTCTCCCATTAGGTGTGATAGTATTTATTCTTTTTCCTTGCTGTGGTTTCCTTTTGCAGACACCCTTATTACCCATATGCCAGGCCTTTTTGCTGTCTTTAATAATTTGTTGCTTTTTTCCAAATCCCATTTACCTTGGCTTCTGTTTAATACTTTTTTTAAAAACCATTTTATCTTAGTAAAGCATTTTCTGTTGTGTTAGTTCATCCTTGTTTTCTGGTTTAGTCTTCACTTCTGAAATGATTCTTCTTAATTTACCCTAGTTGTTATCACATGTCTGAGTTTTCCTAATCCTGCTTTATAATTCTCTTCCATGTCTCATATAATTTTGTTAATGTCTTCCAACTAATTTTTAAACAGTATATTCTACATCTTGTTTTTTGGCATATCTTTCTGGAGTGCATCTGGTTCTCCCCATTTACCTTTATAATTGTGTGTGGGGTTTGACAATTTTTTGTTCTTACCTTTACAGCTTCATTGGAAAGCTTCTTTCACATACCATAAAATTCACCCACTTAGTGTACAGTTGTAGTGGTTTTCAATATATTCAGAGCTGTATGCTTATCACTACAATCTGTTGCTCATTCTTAGTCCCTGCTCAATTTCAATTCTATTCTCATCACTTTCTTTGCAGTGTGGGAATTTGTCCTGGAAGGGAGACCTGGCAGGTCAGTATGAAGAATTCATTAAGGACTAGATAGACTACTCCATCACTTTCACACCTTCTGTAGTTTTGTACATATTTGACAGACTTTAATGAAATGAAAGACCCTGGCACTCACCCAGTTTTTATTGAGGGTAAGAACTGCTGTTCTTAAATTGGACCACCATACATTAGTGAATATCTGTTTGCTGTTTTGGAATTCTCCTGTCTATCAGAATTCTGCTTTCTCCTACACAGATGTCAACATGCATTGATCACGTGACTATGAATGATAAGCTTTTTCTTTAGTTTTGATTGAGGTAATACTGGTTTACAAGACTATATAGGTTTCAGGTGTA